ACTGGTTTTAGTCCCAGATCTGGCGGCTTGCTTTCTCACTTTCTCTCTTGCTCTCTCGTTCTGTCCCTCTCTGATCAAATTAAACTGACTAACTAAATAAAGTTAAATAATTTTAAAAATGGGGGACCAGCAGACAGGGTAATGGGTACGTCGCTGGACTCCTATGTAGTCGACCACGATTCGAGTCCTGGACCCGGTGGCTTAAACTCATGCAGAGTGCACATGTGTGCATGCCCAAGATCCCAAACGGAGAATGGAGGAGAAGGAACTACGGTATGGCCATACCCCCTGCGGCGTGATTTCTCACTGTCTCTCTGTTTCTCTCTGTCTTTCTGGCAAGCATATGTGCCCTATAGCAAAAACCTCTCCAAAAAAATAAATAACCAGACTGCTGACCCAGGTTGGCAGGTGGCATGGTGGTTAAGGGCACCAGACTGCCACATGGCTGACCGTGATTCAAACCCCAGATCTGGCAGCTTGCTTTCTCTCTTTCACTCTCTCATTCTGTCACTCTGTGATAAATTTAACTAAAGTTAAAAAAATTTTTACATTCTGTCCCTCTTTGATAAAATTAAATAAAGTTAAAAAAATTTTTAAATTAAAATGGGGACCAGCAGATAGTGTAATGAATGGCTATGTCACTGGACTCCCATGTAGTCAACCGTGGCTCAAGTCTCAGACCCAGTGACTTAAACTCATGCTGGATGTGTGTGTGTGTGCGCTCAAGATCCTGAGAGGAGAATGGAGAAGGGATTGCCCTCTTTGATAAAATTAAATAAAGTTAAAAAAATTTTTAAATTAAAATGGGGACCAGCAGATAGTGTAATGAATGGCTATGTCACTGGACTCCCATGTAGTCAACCGTGGCTCAAGTCTCAGACCCAGTGACTTAAACTCATGCTGGATGTGTGTGTGTGTGCGCTCAAGATCCTGAGAGGAGAATGGAGAAGGGATTGCAGCCTGGCCATCCCTCCTAGGGGGTGATTTCTCACTTTCTGTCTCTCTGTTTCTCTCTGTCTTTCTGGCAAGCACACGTGCCCTATAGCAAAAACCTCCAAAAAAACAAACAGACCCAAAAGAAAAAACTGACCCATACCAAATGATATTTGCAAGCCAGTTACAAAGGTCTATGTGATTTTTTCTGACCAACCAGCTATGAACCAGGGTTCTCATGACCCTCTTTCGGTTCACTTACATCTATCAATTTGTTTAAAAAGGACATTAGGAAGGACACAGACGGACAGCCAGTGAGATGCGTGGGGGGTGGAGGAGAAGGGATGCAAAGCTTCTGTGCCTTTTCTGGGCCTACCACCTTCCCAGAACCTGGAAGCTCCGAGTAGTATCAGGATGAGCTAGAAGATGCTGTAGCAACAGATTTCAGCCTAAATTTCTGTGGCTGAACAGAACATGCCACATGTCCACTGAGGGTTGGCAGAGGTGAGGGAATCTGTTCTGTCCTCTGGTAACAAGGATGGCAAAGGCCCTACCGTATGGAACTTGTGGAAATGTTGCTTGTCACGTGTTTGTATTCCCTTGTCAGAGTAAGTAACCCTGGCCCAACTGCAAAAGGGCAGTATGGCCTATGGCTCAAAAAGGAGAACCAGATGTCAGTGGGCTCAGTGATGTCTAGCACTGTTCTCGCTCTAGGAGACTTTCTGATGACAGTGGGAAGACTCCATGATACAATATTGTTCAAAGCAGGATACCAGCCATTATGTTTAGAAGATTTCCAAATAAAAATCATTGTGATTGTAGGAAAAAAAGATGAAAAGAGACCAGCAGATGGCACATTGGTTACATTGCTAGACTCCCATGTAGTTGACCGTGGTTCAAGTTCCAAACCCAGAGGCTTAATAAACTCAGGCCAGGCACGTGTGCACATATGTTCAAAATCCCAAGAAGAGAATGGAGGAGAAGGGATTGTGGTGTGGCTATTCCGCCCCCAGGGGGTGATTTCTTACCTTCTGTCTCCCTGTCTGTCTGTCTCTCCAGTGAGTACACACACCCTATAGCCAAAATCTCTTTTAAAAATGATGGAAACACCAAATTTAAGTGTTCTGAGTTAAATTTTTTTTAGCAATTATTTAATTTTGGGACCAGCAGTTAGCATAATGACTATCTCGCTGGACTCCCATGTAGTCGACCGCGGTTCGCATCTCGGACCTGGTGGCTTAAAACTCACGCCGGGCACATGTGCGCGCATGCCCAAGATCCCTAGAGAAGTACAGAGGAGAAGGGATTGCGGTGTGGCCATCCCCCCTGGGGGGTGATTTCTTGCTTTCTGTCTCTCTGTCTCTCTCTGTCTGGCAAGTGCACACGCCCTATAGCAAAAACCTCTCAAAAAAAAAGAATCATTTAATTTTTAATTTATTCATTCATTTATTTTACTCTGACCAGAGAGAGATACAGAGAGAAAGTGAGAAAGTAAGCCACCAGGTCCAGGAGTGAAACTGTGGTTGGCCATGTGGGAGTGTCCAGCACCTTAACCACCCTGCCACCTGCTGGTCCCCCTGAGTTAAATTATTATTATTTTTTTGGAGAGGTTTTTGCTATAGGGCGTGTGCGCTTGCCAGCCAGCCAGAGAGAGACAGAGAGATAGAAAGCGAGAAATCACCCCCCAGGGGGGATGGCCACGCTGCAATCCCTTCTCCTCCATTCTCCTCTTGGGATCTTGGACATGCACGCACATGCGCCTGGCGTGAGTTTTAAGCCACCGGGTCCGGGACACGAACCGTGGTCGACTACGTGGGAATCCAGCGACATAGCCATTATGCTAACTGCTGGTCCCTAAATGATTTCTTTTAGTTTCCTCATACTTTCGAGTATTTTGCACAAGGAATAATTACCATTTTTTATTACAAAATTAATAAACATTTTTTCTTTAACTGTCAGAGCATGTGCACTCACCAGAGAGACAGGGAGAGAGCATCCCCACACATACACATGAAATGGGGTGTAGTCACTCTGTAGTTCCTTCTCCATTTCCCCATCTTCTTGGGATTTGTGGGACATATGCACAAACATCCGGTGTGTTTTTCTTTTTTTGGAGAGGTTTTTGTGATAGTGAGTGTGCACTCGCCAGAAAGACAGAAAGTGAGAAATCACCCCCTAAGGGCGATGGCCACCCCACAATCCATTCTTCTCCATTCTCTCGGGATCTTGGGCATGCACACACACGTACCTGGCGTGAGTTTAAGCCACTGGGTCCAGTACTCAAACCATGGTCGACTACCTGGGAGTCCAGTGACATAGCCATTACACTAACTGCTGGTCCCTCCTGTGTGTTTTTCGAGCTACTGGGGCTGAGAGTCAAACTGCGGTCAGCCATGTGGGATTTGGCTCCCTTAACTGTTGGGCTACGAGGCCAGCCCAAAATATGAGCATTCTTTAAGGAGATTCTAGGGGCAGGTAGGTGGTGGCACAATAGGAAAACAACTAGACCCACATGGAAAAGTTCTATCTCTCTGAGCATATCAGGTGTGCACCTGTGATGCAGGGCTGGCTTGCTGAAACTGGGGATTGATCACAGTGTGGACTGTCAGAATCTTCTCTTTTAGAAGAAATGAAATAAACTTAAATAAAGCTTCCGGGGACCAGCAAGTGGTATCGTGGTTAAGACACTGGACACTCCCACATGGTCAACTGCAGTTTGAGTCCAGGATCTGGTAGCTTGCTTTCTCACTTACCTTCGTGTGTTTGTCTTTCTCTGGTCAAATTAAAATAAATAAA